TGAGGGTAGGAGGGATCGGGAGATCGACAGGCGGATTGGTTCGGCGTCTGCAGTGATGCGGACGCTGAGCCGATCTGTCGTGGTGAAGAGGGAGCTGAGCCAGAAAGCCAGGCTCTCGATTTACCGGTCGATCTACGTCCCAATCCTCACCTATGGTCATGAGCTTTGGGTAATGACCAAAAGAACGAGATCGCGGATACAAGCGGCCGAAATGAGTTTCCTCCGTAGGGTGGCCGGGCTCAGCCTTAGAGATAGGGTGAGGAGCTCGGACATTCGGGAGGGACTCGGAGTAGAACCGCTGCTCCTCCGGATCGAAAGGAGCCAGTTGAGGTGGTTTGGGCATCTGGTCAGGATGCCTCCTGGACGCCTCCCTGGGGAGGTGTTTCGGGCATGTCCTGCCGGCAGAAGGCCCCCGGGTTGACCCAGGACACGTTGGAGAGGTTACATCTCCAATCTGGCCCGGGAACGCCTTGGGGTCCTGCCGGAGGAGCTGGTGGACAAGGCCAGGGAGAGGACGGCCTGGAGCTCCCTAGTTGGGATGCTGCCCCCGCGACCCGGACCCGGATAAGCGGAGGAAGACGAGACGAGACGAGACGATCTGCAAAGTAAATATGTCATTAAGGGAGGAAGCGTTACGAATATACAAAAGCTTTTGGCCACAAAATATGCAATAACTTAAAGTTATTGATGTGTTTTGACTTGCTGCAGTCTAGTGAATTTCATAGCAGCAGCAGCGTTCTAACGTCCTCTTCTATTAATACTGCAGGTAACTAATTAACTAACACTACCTATCATGTTAAGGTCATTTACATAATATACACACCTCCACACTAGCAGACTCCAGTGACAAAGGTCTGACCAATGGTCAGATTTTTCCCACTTTAAAAGCTACAGCAACGCTGCACTGAACAAGAAGATGACTGCCTTCACAGGAAGCATAAAGGAGAACATTTGGAACGATATTTACAACCGATACAGGTACAACTGGCTATTTGTCATAAAGAAACTGACAGTTATAATGCAGGAGCCGTGCGCAGTTAGTTTTTTTCACCTGTATAGCTACTCTGGAATTGATAAGGGAATAGATAAGGAATTGGATTGATAGACAGAATCGACAATGCCATTGATATTGATAAAAACATATCAATTCCCACCCATAGACACAAGTCTCCATGGACTATGATGTTTGCAGATGACACAGTGATCTGCAGTGAGATCAGGGTGCAGGCAGAGGAGAAGTTAGAGAGGTGGAGATGTGCACCGCCCTTAAAACCATGTCCAATAAGAATGCTCCAGGTCCAGATGGGTTTCCAGTAGCAGTAGTTTTATGAATTTATAGGTAAAGACCTTGTCATCTCATATCCCTTAATGTTGAGAAAGAAAGAAAACAATCTTGTATATAGTGCCTCTCATGATAAAAATCACTTCACATGAACAAAATAAGCAATTAAAGTATCAAAAAAGAATTCAAAAAATGATTAAAAGTATGTTTAAAATGAGAAAAACAATGTAATAAAAATAGTAATGTAAAGAAAATAGTTTGTAAAGCCCTTACAAGAAGATTACAGAAGGTAACACCTATCATAATACACCCTGCTAAAATTCTTAGTAAAACCGTCATTGTGATTGTGGCAACCTTCGCCATTGGTAGAGATTTCCACCTGGCAAGATCATCTTATACTTTCTTTAAAAGTGGGATGTAGTTTAGTTTTGTTAAATCTGCTAGTCTGGAGGTGCTTTTACAAGACACAACATGCCAGCAAATTGGCGTAATATTACCGCAATGGTACATCTATAAACGCGCCATGCCAGCATGGCGTTGCACCAATTTTGCAGCATTCGTTCCGCGTCGCTTGGTAGTAATATTGCGGTAATGGTCTGTTGTATGCGCCCTGGCGCAACAGAGGCAGATGTCATGATGACACGGGGAGTTATTGCTGAGCTCCGGCTGGCAAATTAATTGAAAATGAAAGTAAACACAGGCAGTAAGGTTTACTTTTTGAACAAAATCAGCTGAGATGGCAAACTGGAGCGCCACAGCGCTCCACGAGCCTCTCTGTTAGAGCTGAAGCTCAGATCACCAGACACTGCACAGGGACTGATGGGGACAGACACCTTTAGGAGCTGCTTGTTAAAAAAAATTTAAGATCACGGCTTCAATCGCAATAAAAAGCAAGTTACGGTATGTCCAAGATAAATGGAAGTCTGTGGCAGTGCATACCCTCTTTATGCCGCCATAATCTTTTATAAAATTGCCACGATTGCGCCACATTACCGCCACGGTTTGATCTTATAAACGACCTTTATCCTCTCCAGGGAGCCGCGGCAAATCCCGTTTTGCAAACGCTCTGGTCCTGTAAAAACACCATGGGAGAGATATTAGTGCCCAATCTATCTAGCGTGTATCCTGTTACCAAAGTGGTTAAAATCACACCATCATTTCTTCGTCTTTGGTCTGGAGAAATGGACACAGACCATTTACTGTGCATGCTCAAAAAAAATACATTCAAGTGCACGCATGCATGAAGACACACATCTTCATGTGATGTCATCACGTAAGCTATCTAACATGACTTATGCTTACTCATAATGAATTTGAGCTTGAAAGTGTATAAAGGGAGTCGAGAAAAGAGAAATTAATTGGGAGAACTCTAGATTTTAACCAGTTAATTAAATAATATGAAACTTAAAAAAAGTTTATTAATTCCATTGCTTGGGAGAGAGGGGAGTGAGGATTAAAATGATGGTTTCAACAAGAATCAGTTACTTATTCTAAGGAATCCCAAACAAGCCACCACTTGACTGATTTAGATCTCTGGACTACTTTTGGAAGGAGACCTAAAATAGAGGACTGGGTTTGAATCTTCTACAATCCCATGCAGACGCACACCCATCTGGAATGACCCTGACATTTTGCAAATGAACATTCCAGATTGGAAGTGTAAAGGAATCCTATACCTGGAACATATCTTTGAAGGAATAGAGTCTTATCCCATTCAACAGATTCGTCTCCCAAAATGAGATCGATAAGAACAGATTTTTTAGAATATCAAGAAATTAAACCTGTAGGTAAATTAGCCTTTAGCTATCCCTATAGCAACATGGGAGGTGAATCTATCACTTAGCTTTCACTAGAACATCTGGTCTCAGACTCTTTTAAAAACCTTTAAAATGACCAAGAATCCTAATTTAAGATGAGTTCAATACTAAATTCTGCACAGAGTACATTATACAGGTATTTAGGATGGGTATGTGCTTTCTGACACCTGTGCACCCTGCACAGACAACACACCTGACAATTATAAAAACTGTTAACAGCTGTTAGTAATTATTCATATATAAGGTGTTGTATGTCTACTTAAAGGGACTTTACGGAGTTTTGAATTTTTATGCTCGTGATTGCCCCCTCAGGCCAAAAGCGTAACGGCAGCTTCAATAGTAGGCTCGTGCACGAGGCGCGTATGCTGTACGTGCACACTCCTTAACGAAAATAACAGCTGAGACAGTCGTGTGTGTGTGTGTGTGTGTGTGTGTGTGTGTGTGTGTGTGTGTGTGTGTGTGTGTGAGTGCGTGAGTGGCCCGGAGGACAGGATAACATGCAGCTAATTAATTAAATAATTTGGTTCTGTACCTTTCTCTTCAGCACAGCCGACAAAGGGTTATGATGGGTCAGTCCTCCTGCATGCTCAGACCATTCCCTTCCCTTGCTTGAAAAATTGTTCCAAAATGAAAGTTGAACCCACATCTTTTTTATCTGTGAATTCAATGCCGTTCGGCGAGTCTCAAATAAAAATTTGGGCATCTTACTGTAAAAAAATATACCATTAATGTAAAAAAGAAACTCTAAATAAACTATGTTCACATCCAAAATCAAACCTGGCTCTTCTGCGCGGAAGTCCAACGACTTACTAGGTGAGCTAAAGCGCCAGTGACATCATTTGTATCTGTAACATTTATATCCTTGATCACAGCTGAAACAACGTTCAAAGAAGGGTTTGGAGTGAAAATGGCTATTTTGTTGCTAATTTGCAGGAAATATCTAGAAGAAAGTTCCACAGAAAGTAGCTAAGGGTCCTCAGAAATGTAGCTAGCTTTGTCACTAGGCGTTAGGAACAGCGACAAAGTGGCACTGCCTCTCTCTCTGCTGCTAAAGCTACTGATAGCAAATGCTACGGGCTATGCCTGAGCGTGAACGCGCATGAAGCAGCCTGCTCGACCCGAGCATCTCTCTTTTTCTGTGATTGTACAGAAAAACAGGCAATCACAGTAAAAATGCCAGGGCTCATTCTACAGGACCAGGGCATTGCAGGAGAATGTATGAAGAAGACATTTATTATTTCTATACATGTTTTGGCTGTCAGACTTCCATAATGTCCCTTTAATGTTGCATTGTTGCATAATGTACATGCACTGCAGTACATCAGTCTGTGTCAGGCTTTGGTTAACTCCACATTCCTTCACCAGAGTCCAGCTGTCTGTGATCCTCCAAACTGATAAATAGTCCTGCACCATGTCTGAGAGGAAGAAAGGTTTCGTTTGGATGTAAATTGTTTAGAAAGCAGTAAACATGTTTACCAGCACAAGATTCTGCTACAGGTTTTTAAATAAAACTGTCAACCTTAAAAAGTGGCGAAGACCCATCTGATAAATTTTGGCTTTCTTCTCTATGTCTTGCTCATTAGCAAGACATAGAGAAGCAGCAGGTAGAGCAGGTTGTCCAGTAATCAGAAGGTTGCAGGTTTGATCCCGGCTGTTGCTGTTGTGTCCTTGGGCAAGACACAACCCACTTTGCCTGCTGGTGGTGGTCGGAGGGAACGGTGGTGCCTGTGTTCAGCAGGCCTCGCCTCTGTCAGTGCCCCCCAGGGCAGCTGTGGCTAAATGGTAGCTCATCCCCACCAGCTTGTGAATGGGTGAATGGCTGATTGTGTTGTGAAGTGCCTTGGGGGGTTGTAGAACCCTAAGAAGGTTCTATACAAATAAAACCACACCATTTATTTTAGAAAAAATCACCAGAGGGTGCTGGAGTCCCTGCAGGCCAGTCTGGATGTGGAGGTGAAAGGCCGCGCTGAGGCAGCAAAGCTGAGGAAGAAACTAGAGGCTGATATCAGCGAGCTGGAGATGCAGATGGACCTGCTCACCAAGAACAACACAGAACTCAACAAGAACAACAGGAAGATCCAGCAGCAGATGAAGGTCTGTTCAGAGCAGTTAAGATGTTATAAAGCAGGATCGTCCAGTGGGTCACAGCAATGTCCTCCTGTGCTTCAGGAGATGCAGGCTCAGCTGGAGGAAGAGATGCGGAGCCACGAGGAGCACCGGGATCAGTTGGCAGCTTTGGAACGCCGCTGTGCTCTGTTGGTCAGTGAGGATGAGGAAACCCGCTCAGCCCTGGAGAGCACTGAGAGAACCCGCAAGGCCCTGGAGATAGAGCTACACAACACCACAGAGAAGTTCAGTGACCTCCACGACCAGGTGAACCCCACAAGGGTTGAGTTTCACCTCCACTGGTTTACTTCTCAACTGAGCCAGTCTCAACAGTTTGACTCTGTTCAGTTTCAGTTGTCTCTAAGCGGGAGAAGGAAGCTGGAGGTGGATCTTCAGACTCTGCAGCAGGAGCACGGGGAGCTACAGGCAGAGCTGAGAACATGCACAGAGAGGGCAAAGAAGGCCAGCTGTGAGGTAAACACACAGCTTCCAGGTTCTGAAGCACGGTTTAGACGACTTCTGATACGAGTGTCCTTTCCTCCAGCTGGCCAGAGTTGGGGAGGAGCTGCGTCTGGAGCAGGAGCATGTGCTCCACCTGGAGAGGGTCAAGAAAGGTCTGGAAGGCCAGATCAAAGAAATGAGCGGTCGGCTAGACGAGGCTGAGCAGCTGGCTCTCAAAGGAGGAAAGAAAATCATTCAGAAGCTGGAGGGGAAGGTGTGGAGACAGGATGTCAACCCGTCACAATAAAACACTGAATAATGTTAAATATGTTCATCATTATCACCACAGGATCACTGATTTTACTAAAGACAAAGAAAATTTACCAGAGGACCAATTTTAAATTCATCATTCTAGACTCACACACAGTCATGAGGTTCTACTTTGTTGGCTGATTTACAAAATGTGTTCATGAGGGCCTGTGGAGGGTTTTCCAGACATGCTCGTTCCACGGCTAACCTAAGCAGCAGATTCCCTCTTCATGCAGGTGAAGGAGCTGGACTTGGAGCTGGACTCAGAACAGAAACGACACGCTGAGACGGTGAAATCTCTGAGGAAGAATGAGCGTCGTCTGAAGGAACTGCTGTTTCAGTCTGAGGAGGACCAGAAGAGCCAGCAGCGGATGCAGGAGCTGGTGGAGAGGCTCCAGAACAAGATGAAGGCCTACAAGAGACAAGTGGAGCAGGCAGTACGTCTCCTTTCCTCTCACTTGTCCTCGTGTGTTGCTATCTGCTCTCATCTCATCTGATGCAATGCCCCTCCCATCACCAGAGGGTTGCAGGGTCCATTGCAGTCATTGTGCCCTAGGGCAAGGCACTTCACCCTGCTGGTGGTGTTTGGAGGGACTGATGGTGCCTGTGTACAGCAGCTTCGCCTCTGTCAGTGTGCTCCAGAGCAACTGTGGCTACATCATGGCTCATCCCACCAGCATGGGATTATGTGGATGACTGTAGTGGTGTAAAGCACTTTGGGGGGTCTAGGACCCTAGAAGACACTATAAAGAGTGGGTACGGAAAGTATTAGACCCCCTTCAATTTTCCACTCTTTGTTATGTTGCAACCATTTGCTAAACTCATTTGAAATCATTTTCTCATGGGGTGCTGTGTGTACTTTCATGAGGAAGAAAGTGAATTTCATTTACTTTAGAAAATGGATGCAATGTAACAAAGTGAAAAATTGACAGGGATCTGAATACTTTTCGCATCCACTTTAAATACAGGCCATTTACCGTTTGTTCTTTGTTGTCCTCACCTCAGGAAGAACAAGCCAACATGAACCTGGCAAAGTACAGAAAGACCATCCATGAGCTGGATGATGCAGAGGAACGGGCCGACATCGCTGAGTCAGCGCTCACCAAGATCAGGACAAAGACCAAAGGCAGCTTCGGCAAAGGGTCCTCCTCTGTAAGTATCCTGGAACGCAGGTTCTACCACAGATCAGAACCGTTACTGACCCTTTGTGGTGTGTTTAGTCAGTAAAAGTCTTTACTGCTGAAGCTTCGAAAATCCTCTTGGTCACAGCTGTCAGTAACTCAGCTGGAGGCAGGTGGAACTGAGTTTCTACAGAGATCTGTTTGCTGGGTGATAGAGGAGAGATGGGCCGAGGGTCCAGAGCTTCATCTGGGGTGTCATGGCAAGGGATTAGCTGATTATTTGGATCAGGACTAAAAGAACAAGATCTGAAATGTAAAACCAATCAGGACATGTCACATGTCACAGTGGGACCAGGTCCAGAAGAGTCCAGGCATTCATTTACTCAGCAACACTCTCCTAGCCTGAGATGTCCTTGCAGGAGATGACCAGAATGCATCCCCCCCCCCCCCCCCCCTTCCTCTCTCTCAATGGACAGTGCCTGACAGACCACCAGGAAACCTAGGGAGAGCCTGGTAGAAATCCCGGATAAGGAACTTGTCCAGGATGTGGCAAGCAGGAACCCAGGAGCGTTCCTCAGGACCATACCCCTCCCAGTCCACCAGGTACTGCAAACCATAACAAGAATGAAGAAGGCGCCACACAGTCTGGACCACACCCCAAGCCAGGAACCAGGTGGGAGGAGGGGACCTGGAGAGGGGCACAAGACAGGCTTGACTTTAGACACATGAAACATGTGACATACCCTCGAGGTTCAGGGACGCAAAGACGAACTGCAGCAGAGTTGATCTCTTTGGAGATGGGAAAGGGGCCAACAAAGCAAGGAGCCAACTTGTGGCACAACCCAAAGAGGATGGTTTTTCGTGGACAACCACACCTGCTGCCCCACCTGGTATGCTGGTGCGGGAGACCTATGCCAATCGGCAGATCTGGCATAATGGGTAGAGGTCGCTTTCACAGAGGATTCATAGTTTTGTCTAAACCTCCTGGTTGATGTGTTCAATATATCCATCTGTTTAGGGGAGGAATCCAGAAGAGAGGCTCACCTTAATTCCCAGTTGACCACAGAACTCTTTCCAAAACTTGGAGACAAACTGTGGTCCATGATCAGAGGCTATGTCTGAGGGGATGCCATGCAGCCAGAAGACCTCTCGAGCCAGAATTTCTCCGACTTCCTTGGACGTCAGTAACTTGGTCGGAGAATCAAGTGTGTCATTTTGGAGAACCGGTCAATTATGCTGAGGAGGAGCATAATGTAATTAATAGAGTTGGGTTAACCTGTGATGAAGTCCATGGAGTTGTGGGACCAAGGGTGACAAGGGATGGGGAGCGTCTGTAGCAGTTCTGCTGGTGGTCGACGGGAGGGTTTGGCTTGACATTAGTGACACTACTGTGCTGTAATGCACATGTCGGTAAAAGTCAGCAAATCCTAAGACCCTTAGAAAATGCTTGAGTGTCTGAGGCCCTTTGATGGACACTGGAGAAGACTGTGCCCCACTCCTCTGCAGTAAAAACACAGTCTTCCTCTAAAAAGTCTCTCGTATTCCTATGGCGAAAGTTTGGCTGGGCCAATCTGCAGGGGTTCTGGGGTCTCAACAGGACTAGACAGGGCTCCGACAGGGTTGTGTGAGGATTGGGAGAGGTCCGAGAACTAGGTTCAAATTGATACACCGGAAAGGGTCGGCTTTTTATCTTGCTTGAGCTTAAGGAGTCGTACATCGACGTGGGTGGAAAGGGCCTTCAGCCCCACCAGCCTCCTCATTCTAGGTGCTTTCTGTAAATAGGAAGTGAAAATAAATTATGTACTCACTCTTTTCCTTCCCCACCTTATGGTGAGGAGACCTTGTGCTGCCTCTCTGGGTGGCAACAATAGGCTAAAAACCCTGAGCAGTTCTTCAGTAAAATCCTTGTCGCAGTAACATCTATAAGTGTCTCTTTGCCACCCAGCTGTTCCTCACAACTTGGGTTTTCCAGATAAAAGTGAAATGACAAAGGCAACCTTGGCTCTTTCTGTGGGGAAGGAGAAGTTCTAAATAAAAGTCAAAGTCCCATTAGTTGACACATCACCCATCCCCTGGGGGAGCTGTGAGCTGCAGACACAGCCACGCTCCGGAACCATTTGATGGTTCAACCCCCCCCCAATCCAACCCCTTAATGTCGAGTGTCAAGCAGGGAGGCATTGGGTTGCATTTTTTTCTAAGCCTTTGGTATCATCCAACAAGGATTTGAACCCTGATCTCCCAGTCTCAGGGCAGACACTCATACCACTAGGCCACTGAGCTTCTCGCACTGCGTGAGGAAAGCTCTACATGGATCAGGGTCACTTCTGAACACCTCTGGTGGGATCAAATGCTGCTCATGGGTGTTTGGAGGGTGTAATCCTGGTGGAGGTACGGATGAGTTGGGCGGGGCCTCCGTCCTCAGGGCAGAAGCTGTGGACAAATGATTCAGCATGGACAACATATCCTGAACATTAGTCTCTAATTTGCCGATAGCAGACTCTACATTAGAACACCAGTTCTGTGTGGGTGACGGGTCCATTTTTGGCCAGATTGTACTGTAATGAACCACTAGCAAGATCCGGAAATTCAGCCACACACAGGATAAGCAGTAAAAGATGATGCTTTATCGAATTAATCTGAGGACGTTGCTTGGAATGAGAAAACCCCGTGGAGGAACTGTGGAGAGGGGGGGGGGGGGAGAGAGAGGGAGGGAGAGAGAGAGAGAGAGAATGATGATCCTAGCGAGAGCAGATCCCAGGGAAGAGCAGCACTGTACAATCAGAGATTTATTTATGTTTTCATAACCAGATCTCTGACTTTAAGCTCTCTTCTCATCAGTGGAAACTTCCTGATGGCCCCCCAGAGTTCATGGGGTGGCCTGGTCCTCTTGGGAATTTGTGATAATCGTTTTCATGTTTATTTATTTGGCAGACGCTTTTATCCGAAGCGACAATTTCTAACCTATAGGGCATGTTGTGATCGGTCTGTGATTTGGACCGTAGAACATCTTTATCTCCTTACAAGAAATAAATTACAAATTATTTCAGTAGATTAAGATTATCTGTAGCCTACCTGTACTAGTATCACACTGTGTGTGTGTGTGTGTGTGTCCCACCAGGGTTACAGTACTCCATACCCCACCCTTGTGCGCTCCCCCAGCTCCGTGGGCTCAGAGGGACGAGGGGAGAAGATTGTGAATGAAGACAACGAGTCAGTCAACTCCCTCATCCCGACCTATCTGGACTCCCTGAGGAAGCTCATGATTGATTAGGGAAAACCTGTGGGGAAAGGTTCAGAGTTCAAATGGTGATTTTATTTGTTCTGGCATCAAAATCAGTTTATCATCGTTACAGGAAGCACAATCAGCCTGTTTCTAACGTAAGCTTTACTATCAGTGCCTTAAAGTGGAACGAGGATGGAACTCATCGTTTTCTGTTAGCATGTGATGAAAAGCTTCTGTTTTCTAGAAAAAACGAATAAATGACACAATAAAAAGATTCTGTGGTTTTGTCATTTTTACTTCCTGTTGAGGTTAATAGCAACACCCAGGAAATGCTCGTGACCTGTTTACTGAACAAGTTTAGTTTGTCACTGAGGTGCAGGTGTGACTAAACAAACCGCCACAGTGTTAACTAGGGCTGGACGATTTTAGGAAAAGATTGAATCACAATTTTTCTAGCAAAAATTGTGATTTTGGTTCAATTCACGATTTTCTGCAAGCAAAGGTCCAACACTAGCCTGCCAAGCCATCCTGCTGATTAAGTGAAAAGGTGGTCTAGATTCTAGTCTAGTACAACAAATCATTCACATTAATATTTACTATTTAATCTTACAATAAAAACAGTTAAAGCTATTAATGTTTTCTCCCATTATCTTATTTTTTTATGTGTTTGTGAAGCAGCTTGTGCTTGTGATTTTTATCTAGAGAGGAGCTTTATAAAAACATGGTCTACTCCAAAAATGCATGGAGGAAATCTGTAGGTAGAAATAGCTTTTAAATGTATTAAATAAAAAAAATACATGGTTTTCCTGCATTACCGCGGCAGGCTGAAGCCAGGCGCGCAGATAGGGTGGGGGATGGGGGGATCTGTCCCCGCAGATTCAGATCGACCCCAATCCGTCCCCCGCACTAAGGCCAGAAAGAAAACAAAATCGGAGGGTACATTGGAACTTTGTCCCCCCAGTTTGAAAATCCTTTCTGCGCCCCTGGCTGAAGCCATCTGGTAGTTTTTCCTCACTAAAATGTCAGCTCCGTGAGAGAGACGCACGCATTCTGACACCTTAGCTTGTTTGAACTAACGTGAGCCGTCAGAAACATTCAGACGATTTTTAAAAGAGAAGTTAAGCTTTCAAGTCAACTAAAGTGCGCGACTCCGCACTCGCGCTGATGAAGCATAAATCGAGCTTTAGAAAAACCTGAATATGCAGCTCTGGCAGCTGTGGAGTTGGGCTCAGCTCTGGACTGTACACCCCACCCCCCTCCCCCGCGCTGGCTTTTGCCGCAGCCATAACACAGGGGGAAAACCCCGGATGTTAAAAAAAGTTACACAACTGATCCTGGATCAGTCAAAACCGCTAAAACCGCTGCTTCGACGGTCATGTGATCATGCTGTTTGAAATCGCAATTTCGGTCCAAAAACGATAGATCGTTCAGCCCTACTGTTAATCATCAAGTCTCTGTATCCGTTCACAAACTTGTGCTTTTTCATTAAAGGTGTGGTTCAGTGACCATTTTAATGATTGTTTCTGATTATAATCGATCACTCTAAATTTGCCATGCAGGCTGAACATAAAAATAGTCTCCTACATCCATCTCCTGCATCAGCTTCTGATAGAAAATAGATGGAGAAACTCTAGGATATGAAAAGTCTGACAGATCTATGCCACAGGGTTCTAATTACAGAGGAGCCAAGGGGAGCCCGGCTCCCCTGAAAGGGTGACAAGCTCTTACTTACACACCAAGGGGGAGCCCAAGAAAAGATCCAGTTTACCTAAATTACATTATTTATATTAACTCTAAGCATCGGGGATCCTTTTGAGCAGAGAGCATGGAGAGCGGCATAGCGCTGATTGTTGATGCGCTGCAGGCAGCGGCGTCCTGCGCCCCGCCACAGTAACATAAGTGTTTACACCCAAAAAAAATAATAAATAAAATTAATACACGTTCGTTCATGTGTGCTGATATTCTCTGGCACTCTGCTGTTTTTGCTGTCAGTATCCCTTTTATGTGCTTAGCTCAAAAGTAATTCATGTGGTGAAAAAGTAGGAAGCCAGGCAGCAGTCTCTGTGCAGGATGGGGAGGAGATGCAGGATGATAAGAGACAGACAGGACAGGAAAATAGTCACATGAAAATGGAACATTTATTTCTTTGATACAATTCAGATCAGCTTCACAGCTCAGTCCCACACCCAGTGTCGTTTCATACCCTTCAAACCTGAGACAACTGGAGCAGTTTGATCATGAGGAGCTGGCCAGAATACCTGCTGGGAGGTGCAGAAGTCTCACTGACTGTTACTGGAATAATTTGATTGCAGTGATTCTCTCAAAAGGTAGTGCAACAAAATAAAAATGATTACATTTAATAGACATTTTTAATAGAAATAGAACTTTTGTCAGGTATTTCTGTGATCATAGAAGGTTTATCTTTCCTTGACTGAAGGGTACCAACTACATTGACCGTGTCTATAACGCTCTACTTTTGGGCTTTGACATGAACGTTGTCATCCTTTCTCTAAACGTAGCGCGGGGGCCTCGCTGCGGAAGCCTGGCTCCTTCCCCATGGGCTGCTTGCATGAGATCGCTGGATTGAACGCTGGAAATCGTTGATGGATGTGGAAGTGTGCACACAGCTGTGTGACTGCTTTAAAGGGAATCGTATTGTGAATATTTCTGTTGCATTTTTCTGCTTACATGAAAATATGTTTTATGCAAACATAGTTTTCTGTTTGTCACCAATAGTTTCAGGCCAGTAAGATGAAAATAAACCTGTATAATTTCCAAAACATGGAACACAATTAGGATTTAATCAGCTAATGAATCTCCACAGGGCTGGAGCATCCTGTAATTACCCAGCATGAGTCATGCACACACACTCATTGCTGACCTTTCTGTTCGGAGAGGACAATTTTAGTGCTGTTTCAGCAGGAGCACACCGTTTAAAAACTACACACACACACACACACACACACACACACACGCATATATATATATATATATATATATATATATATATATATATATATATATATATATATATATATATATATATATGTATATATATATATATATATATATATATATATATATATATATATATATACATATATATATATATACGTGTATGTATATATACGTGTATGTATATATATATATATATATATTTATAAATACATATATATATATACATGTATATATTTACGTGTATATATATATACATATATACATGTATATATATGTATATATATATATATATATATATATATATATATACACGTATATATATATATATATATATATATATATATATATATATATATATATATATATAGTTACACTTCCTTATATGTGGATTTGGATGAGTAAAGGAATTAGTCAAGTCTTGGATTTGACCACAAAGTCACTTTATGCTTTATTTGTGACTCTGAGCAAAGGTTTTATTACATAAAGTGTACATCAAAAAGGGATTGAAGCTTTAGCATTAGCTGCGGTAGCTAGCTCCTCCTAGTTCGGTCTGAACAAGGCTCACTAAACCTCGCTGTGTACCAAAATAAATTCTCTCTTTCTTCAGTAACCATCACTATTGTAACCTGTGAGTAAAACCATAGCAACAGTAGCTTAGCATCAACACCTGGACATGTCCTCCTATCAGCTAGTGAAGACAACACTCTCAGGTCTGAATGTTAACTCGTTAATCATAATCCCGCTGCTGCGTGACACAGAGCTTTCTCACACATGCACACACACACGAGGTTGATCTTCCATCGTCTCACCTGAGATTCTCTAGTAGAGTTTTGTTGCTTAAAAACATTTTAACTGTCATCATCCCAAGGAACCCAAATGGCCAGCGAGCTGCTTTTGGATCTGGAAATATGTGTGTGTGTGTGTGTGTGTGTGTGTGTGTGTGTGTGTGTGTGTGTGTGTGTGTGTGTGTGTGTGTGTGTGTGTGTGTGTGTGTGTGTGTGTGTGTGTGTGTGTGTGTCCAAAGCCCAGACAGCTCTGAGGTCAGATCTCTATGTCCACAGGCCTGGTTTCACCAGTTTTATTCTCCCGTACCCACAGCTCTCGGTCTTTTGTGGGATCCACGCTGTGTAGGAGCTGGTCCACCGGTTCTATGGTCTGGAAAACAAACGAACATCAGAACAGATCAGGATGTTAGGCTGGTAAAGGCCACACTCCGTCGTTAAAGTGTACAGTGGGCTCCCTCTGCTGGTTGCAGACGCATGATGCAGTTTAAATTACTTTGTGTAGATTTTCACAAACTTCGCTGCTTCAGTGTTTTTAGCTCTTTAGGTTAAATGTTCTTTTGTTCCAGAAGTTGAATTAGGATTGTCTCATAAGTTGAAATCCCTTTTTTTTTTTTACCAATATTTCTAGTCTCAGTTCTTCTAGACCTCTTTGACTGCACAGCACATGGACGTTAGGACAGATTAAAAGCGTTTGTGGCGTGATGGCCGTGAGAGTTGCTGTGACTGATGAGACGTTTCTCCACAATTCTAAAATGTTCCAGATTATTCCAAAGTCTCTTATTATGTTCCATTTCACTCTAGATGAACGTTTATACTTTGGGATTTCTTTTACCAGGACAGCATCCATATGTCATCACTTCATGTTCTGTCATTTTCAGCATGAAAATAAACAACCTGAGGCAGTTATGGTATTACCTATATTACCTGTAAAGGCTTTTTGAAGCAGCTATTTAAGTTCTGATCTCTTTGTACTCCTCATAGACATAAATGAAGAATTCCTGCTCTGCCTGGGAAAAGAACGCGACTCCTTACTTTCCTTTCTTTCTCGTTTATCTAGCATCGATTATCAGTGGCTGCCTGCGGACGCGCGTGAGCCTTGAACGTCACTCCTCGCTTAAATTAGTGAGGACCGAATCCACCTGAGCTTCCGTCGTGGAACCGAACAAGCCTGGAGAGAACCGATACGCTAATTCAAACGAGACTTGATTCTTTTGAGCTTGCTTTATGGAACGGGCCTCTGGTCTGAAGGCCGGTCAACACCAACGCTTCTGAAAACATTTACTGGAGTCATTTTTATTTATGAACGCTGACCATGAAGACACAAACCCAAACGTGGGCATCACCCACACCTATCCGTGTTTTAACTCATTTGCTGCCATCGATGTGTAAAGTCATCATTTTAAATCCAACCGCTCGCTGCATTTGTTTTACTGGGCGGGCGTCGGAACGAGCCCCCGCACCGCGGAAACAAACATCACGGCTCTAAAGCCGATCTTCATCCATGTGTGTCACGTGAAGCAGAAAATCCAAGAATCAGGAGATGGTTTGGGGGCGCCGCTGTGAAAAAAAGCGAGGCGCGAACCGAAATCGCTTCTGCAGCTCACAATTCGACAACGGATCAAGAAAGAAGGGATAATGCTAGAAACACGCTGATTCTTCCTGATGTAAGAAGTGGGTCTACTCTTTCTTTTGCTGTTTACGTGACCATAGAGCTCAATGTTCTGGGACTCTTCAAAAAACTGTAAAATCGCTGAAAACGCTGGCAGTCAGAGGCTTTCTGGTCAGGAAACGGCTGGCAGTGAACGAGTTAAACAACTCCCAGGACTCGGTTTCCGTAGCAGACTGGACTACTCACACTTTGGTTGAACATGTCTGTCTCATGTCGAAGCGTGGTGTACTGGCACAGGTGTTGTCTGATCATCTCCACCCGCTCCACCTCCAGCCTCTCCAGCTCCTGCGAAACACAACGGAGGAAAGAGTCACGGAGCCGTCCTCCTCCTCTTTAAGGACAAACACGCGTGTCCTTACCAGACTTGTGGTCACCATCTCCTCAAACCATTTGGACTGAGACTGGTTGTAAAGGTCAGCGCAGCGCATCAGATCGTCTCCTGTCAGAAACAAACACCGGTCCCGTTAAAGCTCGTAGGATCAAGGCTTCGTTTCTCCTGAGAAGCAACAAGCAGCAACACTCTCAAATGTCGTTGTACCAAAACAGCACAGAGACTCTGGACCAATGATGGCCTTCATTATGATGGATTATTGCATTAGGGCTCCTCACATCCTGTTGGCAACAAAACACACATTAATTATGAGGAGGATGAAATCATAACGGAAATGCTCCAGATGATTCTCTCTTTCTGTTCTCAGGGTGACTCCTGAACATCGATAGAGTACCAACAGAACCACAACCTGCAGCCGACGTACTGAAAAGCAGGCCTCTTCTTGGTTTTGGCGCACTTCAATAACATTTAAGGAATAGTTGGTTTGAAGTATTTTAGGCATCATTTTACATGCTGTCATAAAACGTTACCCACTATTCCTGTTTCCATGGGAACCTAAAGAGTATCAGCCCGGCGCTGCTGTTTAATCCAGCTGTTGCAGCAGGTATGAGCTCCTTTATAACAGCTGGTGTGGAGCATACAAGTGTGTGTTCACACAATGAAACCAGATCCACCATGATCTTAAAGAGACACCTTTATGAAGTCCACCCATCTGCTTGGAGAAAAACTATTCACCAGAGTCTTCATGTAACTGACAATCTTATCAGGGGTGGACATCCTAGAAAAGTCCATATAAGGTTGGACCTGGGGTGGAAATAGAAAGGTCCTCAAGCGATGCTGTCCATGGATGTGTGTCCCTGTGATGGGCTGAAGGCTTGTCCTGGGTGTCTCCCACCTCTAGTCTGATAACTGCTGCAGACATCAGCTCACAGTGGTTCTACTCGCTGTGACTTATCCATGACACTGCTCTTTCACATGCAGGAAACAAGCAATTAAATCTTTTTTTTATTTACTAAGGAAAATGTCAGAAATGTGATGCAGTGAGTAGAATCTGATGACCAGACTTTTCCTTTGTGGCTCAAAAGCTGAAAATGTTGGAAAACACAGTTAAATGAGCACAGCTGATTCTGAACAAACCTCACTGTTTTCCATTTATTTTATTTAACCAGGAAGGAAATCCCACTGAGATTAAAAAGCTCTTCTTCAAAAGGTCAGGACTTCTGGAGCAGTGTTGGGAACAGAGTGGAGATATTTGGTCATTAGGCACAGGACAGGAGGTGGAGGTGGTGGGACCCACTAAGTCCCGCCATGATGTCCTCTGCACACCTACTTCCTGAGTCTACTCATAGTTTAGTTGTCTGACAGTTGTAGTTTGGACCAAACGGGGTCATAAAACAGAACAACGATCTTCAACTCAGCAGCAGAACACGAAACAAAATATTCATGGCTCTGCAACGGCCCCGTCAATCAGAACATGGTTAAAATGCTGGGGTGGGACCTTAGGAGGACTGAGAATGTCCTCCATTGAACAAAAGCAACATTGTAAAGACAAGAGGGTCAGACGTCCTCCAGAACCATGTGAGAGGCAGATCCGGTCCATTATTCCAGCATAATGAAAAACCCCTGTTCAAGAAATCCCTCAAATATAAGCAAACACAACCGAGGAAAGACTAGGGGTTTCATGAAAAACAAGCTAAAAACTGTGTTTTATCATTAACAGTAACATATGTAAGCCATGATGTTGTGTTTACATATTTAAATTTATTGTTTACTTTTGTTGATCTGTTTTTGTGCTGCGGGGGCGGGGGCTGAGGAGACCCTTCCCCGTCTAAATCACCCTGCAGCATCAACATCTGCTGCTGCTGTAGTTGCAGCCGTCTTAGGCGGCGTCTTTCACGTGACAGCATGAGGTCGTGCTGCTGGAGCATTACATCACACGTTTAGCTTGCATCTACTCTCAGACGGTTCCTTCGCTCCAGTAGATCTGCTGAAAACTCAAACCAGCCAACCAGGCTGAGGTGGACTTCCCTCGCTTGAGCCCTTCTAACCGAGCAGAGCACCCACTTATTGGTTTATTTGTTTTAATGTTGGGTGTTTGAGTTCAGTAGTTCTAGTTTAGGAGTAAAGGCACATTCACACTGAGTATTCAGGTACATATCACTGGTTGTGTACCACAGTCCCATCGTTCCCAGTTTCCGCTTTGTGCTGTTAAGTCATAGATTCCATTGTTCTTATGGTTTCTACATGTTTAATCTCCAGCCATGTGGTCAGAGGGTCAGAATATCTCATAATCCCTAAATACACTGTCTACTCTTCTAATATGACCATTTGGTGTGACTCCTGTTCTATAAACCCTATCAGAGTTAATAAAACACACTGGTGACCAAGCCTCTGGTCTGTGAGGATACGCTGTGATCCTTTACAGAATAAAACACTGTAATGACTTCACTTACATGTTATTTAATAAGCCATAAGACATAAGATTCCATAGTAAATATGAAATCAACCTTATGGATCTTTGGGTACTTTTAACCAGAAGATTGGAACTTTTTATTGCAGGGATTATGTAACACTTCGTATTAACTGAGAGACAACAGAAGAGAGAGAGTCAAGTTTTAAAATATTAAAGATTTATTACTAAACAAATTAAAACTAGACTAACTTTAACACTAAGTGTACGGTGTAACTAAGGTGAATGAGACAGAGAATGGTGTAGTGTGGAATGTTGTTCAGAACCAGCAAATCCGAAGAAACCATTAGTTCTGATGGGAGTGAAGGTGATGTCTTCGTGCTAAGCTTTGATTAGGCGATTCATAAACACATAAGACGCCATCTTGTCGCTCCACACATACCGAGACCTCTGTACAGATCCAGACTGCCAGGTCCTCGAACCCCTCTTTTGGTACCGGAGCCGATGAAACAGCATCAGCAGTACGACAGACTAGTCTTTGGATTGTCTCCAGGTAAAAAGCGACAGTTGGTTGACAGCGTCAGATGGACCCAGAAGGTCAGTGAGTTCAGCTTTTATTCTGAAAGGAACCGTTGCAGCAGGTGGAACAGCAACAGATTTTATCCAGCTTGTCGTTGGTTCTTTTGGCTGAAGAGGAAAGTTACGGATTGGCCACTCCGACAACTTCTCTAGAACGCTTTGAACCGGCGTTAAAGATGACGTGGGCATAGTTTCATACTTCGGATGTTTTGGTTTATGGTCGAATGAAAAGATGACAGATTTACCAAACACCACCAAAACCACGCCTCCGTCAGATCTGGCAGGTTCTGATTGGATCAGTAAAAGTAATGTGTCATGTCTTAACGCTACGTGAGATCAGTCCTAGTGGAAACATTTAAAGTCGTATTACTTATTATATTCTATAGGATTATAATAAAGTAATTAATATTTTGATTTCACAGATTGGTCACATCTTATTATTGACTAACACTTGGTTGGATTAGCTTTATTAAAATAGAGTTCTTTGATTTATTAAAAGGAGAGAGTCCTTTCTTCATTCTTCTGTTGAGCTGGAAAGGAAGCAGTTTATAACAAATGCATGAGACCTTGAGGCCATATCTCATGCAGACTAGTTCTGTGTCAGAGGAGAGGGAGGAAATGACTTTTAGGTGGAAAACAGTCATTTCATTCCGTTACAACACTTACCACCAAAACTATTTTAAATGACGTCTCTCTTAGTTTAAATCAAACAGATTCTTTACAGTTTTCTTAGTTTTTACAGAAAATGTTCTGTGACCAGCCCTGGTCCGACGCTGGAACTTATTCAACCAAAGTTTTGATACAAATGTGTTCTGGCATCCACACCTTTCTAACTGTCTGGAGCAGAGACCAGCCCTCCTCCTCCTCCTCCTCCCACTGCCTCTGCCTCTTTAAAGTTAGATAAATAACTGGAGAACATTTCTGTCTGGCTCACAGCGCTGATAAAGAACATGAAAAATGAACCACAGCAACTCGGGTCACACACAATCTCAAGTGACAGGCTGGAGGAGGATTCTAGTCAGTTAACTGTTTACAGGGATCTGCTTCTGCAAGCATCGGTCTTTTACATCTTTGTGGGTTTAAATGAGACGTTGTTATGTTTGGTACAATAACTCAATTCATCTTAATAGAAACAGATTTGGGATAACTGGAAGAATCGTGTATGGTTCACACACACACACACGCATCTCTGTATCCTTGTGTGGACCTCCATTGACTTCCATTCATTTTAGTGACTCCACTAAGCCCATACCCTAACCCTAACCATTACCAATGCTGTTGTATTCCTGATCCAAGAAGGCGGACTGAATGGACGGAGGTGTTTTAGCTGCTTGTGAGTTTGGTCGATCTAGACAAAAACAGATAACAAATTAAAAGTAGTTGTGGGGGATGAACTGCTAACCGTCCTAGCTGTGAAGTCCAGAACCATCAGCCAGGATGAGCTTGTTTCTCTTGCTGTGAGCTCATTTGACTCTGAGTGGATTGAGACCTCCAAGAAAGTCCTGTTTGACTTGTGTCCCACTACGCAGCGCAACGTGACGCACAAAGGCCCACTGAAGGGCGTAAATAACAGAAAGAGCTGCTTCAAAGTGCTGAATGAATGTGGACAGCATGTCCCGCCGTCTGTGTCACACTACTTGGACGACCTGCCACCAGTGACCTTCTCAAGCATGGACGTGTGTGGCCTGCTTAGAAGGATGAAGCAGCTGCACGCGGACGGGAGCACCATGACGCAGACGCTACAACACCAGGCAGACGTGAGATCGGATCTTTGCACATTCACGTCCGTTATAAAACATCATGTGAGCAACCTGGAGAGCTCAGCAGATGTGGAGCGAGACTGTGGGCAGCAGGTGACGAGGACAGAACGTAAAGCTCATGGACAACGCGGGACAGGAACGGAGGTGATGACTACTCTGGTGTCAACCGAGACGGGAGACGGAGTGAGAGGGAAAGGAGGAGACCCCTGCTCGGTGTGAGGAAGGCGGCAGCAGAGAAACGAGCGCTCCTTGTGAAAACAGCAGGGGGCTAAGCCAGGGCTGGTGTGCTGTAGTTAAAAGAGGCAGACGAAAGGCAACAGGTTAATGTGAAAAACTCCACAGCACAGACATCGAAGAAA